TGAACACAGAACGTTTTCAGTGCCCAGAGGCACTCTTCATGCCTGAACTGGTGGGACGAGAAATCAAGGGCATCCACGAGGTGACCTACGACTCCGTGAACAGTTGTGATATTGATCTGCGCAAGGATCTCTACGCTAACATTGTTCTATCCGGTGGAAGCACAATGTTCCATGGTCTGATTGAGCGTATGCAGCAGGAGATCTCCCACATGGTGGCGAAGAACATGAAGGTGAGGGTAATTGGTCCGGAGGAACGAAAATACTCCGCCTGGATTGGTGGTTCTATCCTGGGCTCCTTGAATTCCTTCAGCGACATGATTGTGACCAAGTACGAATACGAGGATATGGGTGCTGGCATTGTGCATCGAAAGTGTTTCTAAACGGGACTCTTTCTTGGTGTTCAAAAGAAATATTTGTGTATATCGGCGTCGATGGAAACTGACATAAAGAAAGTGTTTGCAAATGAACTGTTATTTTACGTCCCTTTCCCTGCTTTTTGTCAGCTGCTTAATTGCAGTATGTATTAAAGCAGCAGACGCCGTCTGAAACCGGTTTGTGTATTTTTTTCAGAAAAATTATTTTCAACTCAACAAAAATTATTAATGCAAAAGAATGCGGTAGGATCTTTTTGTGGAAATCTCTGAAACCGATTCTGATCAGCAATGACATTTTAATGTCAGTGTCAATGTTTTGAGTTCCAGTAATTTTCTGGCAAGCTTCGAGGGAAAAAAAACTACCGTAATTGAGTTTCTAGCTATTTAGCAGTCTGTATCCATTTCACAATATATGACCAGACTTGGATATATCCAAAAAGACATTGTGAATGCAAGATAGTACAAACTAATGCGAATTTCATGATAACGTCTGTTGAATTCTTCGTAATAAAAGGCAAAAATAGATTCATTTAACAAAATAAGATTATTTGACTCATTGAGCAAATCTTTTAAAATTACTAAAATAATCTGTCTTCTCGGATCAGTACATGCTGGCGTAGAGTTTATTAGTTGAACTAAGTGTTTTATTACGTTTTGCACAATTGCTTATCGAGATTTTCAACACACTTGTAGACCTTTTAAACTCTAAGAATACCTAATTATTCTGTTTATTAACGTGTATCATGCACAGCTGAAATGATCAGCAAAATATTCACGTTAAGCAAATATTTTACTAAGCTCTGTTTAGCCACGTTTGTCAACTTTTATATTTGCTTTAATACTTTAAATTATATTTCTGGATGGGAAAGTATATGTTGTTCTTTTTGTAAAAAACCCTAAATTTCTTATGAGACCGCAGTATTCACCAGGCCTGACTGAGGATCTCTGAAGAAAGTTCGTGTGCTTTAAACAAACCCGTTTCAGGGCCACACGTGATGGCCAGTTGTCAGACTGTCTGAGAACTTGAATTGAACTAATACCGGAGTAAGCACTTGTCACACAAACTGAACTTTCATAGCAACCGAGTTGACGCCGGTCAGGCATTTGGCGATAAAACAGATTAGTCTCTAGTGTTGCCTGCTTATTTTTAACTTTAGTTTGTTACTAGGTCTTGCCTAACACTAGTCAATCGACTGCTACATTCAACACTATTTTTTAAATTAACTTCGGTTATATTGTTCGATTAATCTACTTAGCATCCGCAACCATATCCTACACTCATTCATTGCCCGAACTGTTCTGAGTGTGTGAAACTTGGATACGTATATTTTTTGTACACATAAAGCATACTTAGGAGCATATCAATAAGGCGGTCATTTGTCAGTATTCTCCTTTTGCTGGGGGTTACCATAAGAACGTTGACTTCTCACTTATCCCTAGGTGTCTTTTGGAAACCGGTCAACTTAAGACAATATAATATGGTAGCTCCCTCTTGGCAGACATATATATTGCATCATATTTATGATATATGGACCGAAAACTTTAAGTCCTTTTACATGTTCGCTTAAACTAGACTAGAAGACTGAAAAACATAGAAAATCTGCCCCCAAGGTTACTCACCACAAATATTATTTTGTTATCTAGCTTAGAACACTCTCTGCTACCTGCGCAACTATCCCCTTTAAAAATACCTACTTGAGTAGTCTGTATCGTTTCCAGTAGTTTCTACTGCCTCTGATAATCCAATATTTATGCTTAAAGTCGTTTAATGTAATTAAAATGCTGTCGACTCTCTCTGCGGAGGCTGTAACATTAAATAAAAACTGAAGAAACCAGGTTTATTTAGTTTAAACAGCGTTTTCTAACTCTAAAATATTTTAAACGATATCCACGTTTCCAACTTTTTGCTGAGAATTTGGACTAGCTATGCATAATATTTTTAACTAAGTGAATTTATTTCCCCCACGGCAGGAGCGGTTTTTGGTCTAAAAATACTGTCTTATACTCTGTGTATAATTTCCAAGGGAATGTACGAGATTCCTACATATATTTAGGATTTACTTTATTATCGTTGCGAAAATTACCATTCGATAATTCAGAAGGGCAGTTGGCGAGCATACGTATACTTTCGATAAATTCTCTTCAGGCCATTACATTTATATGGAAGATACGTATACTTTCGATAAATTCTCTTCGGGCCATTACATTTATATCGAAGGGAAAGATAGGGTAACAAGCAATCAATTAATTATCGTTCTAATCAACTTAGTCTTGGGAATGTTAATTCCTCCAAAATACTTGTTATTTTCATTCTCCTTACAACAATTCATATATTTTTATGCCTTACAAGTTGTTCGCTGGTTCTATAAATAGTTTATTAGATGCAGGGTATATAATCTGGTATAAGACCATATGCACAGTCCTTCAAACGTCTAAAATTTCTTGAGTCCTAAACATCTTCACTCTCGGTTGTTTCCTCTACGGCTTATGCTAAATGTATTAAACTCCTCAAAAGAGGCGTGGTAAAAATACTTTATTCAGCATTTACATGAACTGGTACTTGATTTAGATAGACACGGAAAATTATAAGTTCACCAATACCTTTTCCTAAGGTGACGCAAGCATTTTGTTTAGATGGTGTGCGCAGGACAGCAACAAATTCAAGTAGGTACTCTAACGGGGAATTTCATTTAAGACCGATTGTTGACATTAAACAATATATTCTATGCTTCAGTCTTCTATAATTTGCCCTATAAGCAGATGTTTATGCAGCATATTAAAAAGCCTTAGAGAATGAACTGAGGGTTGGCAAAAAACCGTAATGATTGACAAAGTCCATAAGCCCTTGACGTAATTGGTTAAAAAAGTTACTTGACTCAGGATTATTTGCTTGAGTGGGTTTGCAATAAGTGCTAGCAAGCAGCTTACAGCCAAGAAATTTTACTCCACGTTGGATTGGTGGACTTGGAGCACGAATCTGTCTAGTCACCTTCAAATAGACTGAAAAATGACTAGTTATTTGGTGTGCGTTTTACCATCAGTTTTTAGTGCCTGCTAAAATGTTGCCATTTTTATGAAGTTGTGCACAGATGATTGATTTCTTGTAATAAAATGACACGAAATTATCAAAGTAAAATGTAAATCAAGACTTACTGTAAGTAGTTTATTTCATGAAATGTAAACCGACATTTTAAAATTTGTGTTTGATTGTCAAGGGGACATGATCCCAATATATTTTGGGTGCTCGGAAATCTGGACTGAGTAAAAATGACTGCGCAATTAATTTGCATTTTTTACACTAATTTTCAATTCTCCCATATGTTAAAAAGACATTCCGTAGAAAATGTGCACAAAAAATTATTGATTGCAATCATTTTGTTGAAAACAACATCCAATTTAATTTCTGTATCCTAATGATCTGTATTTTACGCTAATTATGATTTTTTAGCGTTGAAGAATGGTCCATTATACAACCTCGTATCTTTCGCTTTGCCTATGAAGAATAGGATATGGTTAATTCAGGTAAAAAATTAAGGCCTCTTAACAAGGTTGCTGAGGCTCATTTTAAATAATATGGTAAGTAAACCCCTGTGTAGTTTCCAAACTGCTGAAGAAAAAAGTTCTTAAAAACCGAAGTATGCTTATTTTGTAGCATACACTTCAATGATGGCGTGATTTTCTACAAAGTAAGTGCACTGAACACTATTTTAGTGCATTTATTCTGTGAAATATACGTGCATTTATAATGCCGTCGGAGTTAAAAGCAAAAATACTCACTGGACAGGTAGTCCTCAGTTAGCGTAATTTCCACCGGCAGCCGAGTAGAAGTTAATTGAAAAACCGGCATAATGTCGTGACGGACATTTATTGGGATGATTCTTTACGAGATCATCTATGTACTACTTTTTATAATCAAAAAGACTTCGAGTTTTGGTTAACATTCCATGACGTAGGCCAGTTACTAGAAGTAGCTTCAAAATTAGTACAAGACATCAACCTACTCTCTATGAGAGCACTAAAAATGAATAAATTTGATTAGGAACCAAAAACTCTTGGCATGACCAAGACTATGTACAAAGCCGTATTTAGGGAATGCAGTATTTGTAAGGAACCAGACAGTCTGCCACTCAAACCCAACTTGTTTGAGTGTAGACTAGCTTTGTGCTGCCTGTCAATAAATATTGCAATGCCAACTCAGTAGTATATCCTACGGAGCATTAAACTGCACATAGCTCTATTTCATTAACGGTTTATGAGTTTGATCATTGCAGAATCAAACGCATTTCGTATTTTTTTCGCAAATGCTGAAGGGCTCAACTTTTTTATTCAGAAGATTAACAATCTCCTCGAATAGGCTACGCAGAACCACGTAGCCAATTAAATGGTCTGTTTTAGTCTGTCTGTTTCCGATGCCGACATAAAGACGTCTATCCTTGTGGGCAGTACAAGATTCAAGCATATTTGGCTTCTGACTTTCGTTTCATCGGTAATTTGTCATCAGGAATATCCCCGAAGTGCTACCGTTTTCCGATAATTGCGGATTTATTCTGCCATTAATTTATAAAATGTCTCAAAGTACATGCTTATATTTCAAACGTAAAAAACATATCGGCAGATTGAATTTTGGTTAGGGTGACTGATACCGGTCAAAAACTCGCGTTTTCGAGGCTCGAGTCTGACACTATTTGGGTCTTAGTATGGCTGGCTGACGACGGCTAATAAGTCAGAGATGGCTATTTCAGTCTCCCTTGTCTCTGTCGGCAATTGTTTATACCATTTACGTGTCTCTAAAATTATGACTCTATTTACTCCCGCCGAAGAGGCAATTAGGAGAAAGATT